TCTCTACCCATCCCCATCCCCTAGAATCACCTTGAGTTCAAATAATAAAAAAAATTAAAAAGCTACATGCTACTGGAGTTACCCTGTTTAATGTTTTTTTTTTTTTTGCACAGCAAATATAGTTTATTATATAGAGTACAAGGGGTACTCCTGCCCATACTACAAAAATAGGTACATATTGAGCATCTACTGACTCTGTCTAATAACCAACAAGAGTCAATAAGTTGCTCAATGCTACCAGTACATCCACCTGCTGAGGATCAGTCCATCCCACCTACCATATTGACCATTTCGGCCAAGTATGGTTCAGGTCCCTATTTCCTACTTCCTACCACAGTTAACTTTGAGGCATGACATTGGATTGTATAACCAATCATAAAGAGTAAACAAGCAGCTAGATTTCCTTGTTTTAATCCACCAAAATGATATTAGTTGAATGTGGTCAAGCAACTTACTTTTGTTGATGTCGGTTTCTCGGAATATCTTTTGATTTCTTGCGAGCCATATGGTCCACACCACAACGTTCCATATACAATCCCAACCTTCCTTTACTCGTTTTTCTTTGGCCCATGCCCCAAACTGCTCAAAAGTTTTCTAGCAATCATTTTCCAAATTAACAGAGGTTCCCCACCATTTCCCACAAGCCTTCCATAGCCACTTTGCCACCTTGCACCTCAAGAAAAGATGATTCGAGTCCTCGACCTCCTCCTCACATAAAGCGCAGATTCCATTATCCAATTCAGTAGTTATTCCTCTTCTTTGCAGCTTGCTCTTTGTTGGTATTCTATCCTACAGTAGCTGCCAGTTAAAAGCAGAAATTTTGTTTGGGATGATTGGGTTCCACACTCTCTTGTGTATTGGAGCTGCATCCAGTCCATTAAATTCATTTGTCAACAGCTTGTAAACTGATTTAGTTGAGTAGTTGCCTTCCTTACTATGCTCCCACTTCCATGTGTCGGGGATGTCCTTGTGTATCCGCATGCTATCAATCTTTTGTTGTAGTTTTGCTGCTTCTTCCCTTTCCCAGTCGAACAAGGCTCTCCTCCACTCTAGATTCCACCTCCATATTCCATCTTCCTCATTGCCCATTTGACAACATTTTTTCTCCTTTTCTGTTGACAAATTATACAATCTTGGATAATGGTTAGCAAGATTACCCTGTTTAATGTTAACATGTCTTTACTAATGGTTTTTAAGCTGAGGAAGTTTTTAAAGGAGCTGGTGACCAAAAGGGTAAACTCCCAAAGGATCGGCGTTGCCCCAGGATCTGGTGAGGATTAAATGACTCCCTCAATAAACAAAAGACAATGGCTAGTGAAGCCCTATGTTTAGAACACCAAATTAGAAGATTAGTTCAGTGCTACCACTGAACCTAACATAGTCAGTGGCTTGGTATATTTATATGTATAAAATAATTTCCTTGAATTGGATTTAGTGGATTTGCTGTTGAATTAAAAGTCTAACACCCTAAAAAATAATAATAATAATAATAATAACAACTACTCTAATTGACCCTTTTTCATATCATATATAAATATCTGTCATAACCTGTCATATTTGTGTCAACCGAAAATTCTGTCAAACAACCACCGAAAGTGGTGATAAAACGATATAAAAAAATAATTCAGCTACATTAATTGTTTTTCTCCAATGCTTTCCTACAATGTGATATAAACAAGTTTATATGGCTTCCACGTCACTCTCAATTGATCATAAAGAATTCAGAATAATTATATTAACTATTTTCATTTGAATTGAAGTGACGCACAAACAGGGACGGACCCACCATAGGACAAAACGGGGGGTGGGAGCAGTGTTTAACCTAGTATGCCGACTTTTAATTGATATAAAATTTGTTTTTATGTCTGAATTATAAGGATTTTTTTAATTTAAAGAAAATATTTAATTATAAGAACTTTTTAAATTTAAAGAAAATATTTATGAGTTAGGCAAAGGGGATCATTTCTTTTTTATAATCAAGTTTTAAGATAAATAATTTTAGTTGAGTATAAAAAAA